TGCTCGGCCATTTATGGCCAGTTATGGCCAGTTACCACCATGTCGTAGCTGTTTGATCGCGTACTCGAATTCGATCGAATCAGTGACTTTTCTTCCTTCTGAAGTAGATAATTGAGTAACAGTACGTGGGAAGACAGCAGAATGCTACACAGCATGGCACTCCGTCAGCTCTAGATATGGTTGTTAAATAATAAAGCCATTCGGGTAAAGTCACAGAATCAGAGATTAAAACCGCACCGTGAGCAGTGTGAAAGATTGACTCTATGAAATGACAAATTATGAAACTATTAATGAGACTGATTGCAAAGCGGTTAGAAAAATTTTTCATTCTGTTTTCTTATATGTACCTTACATGATGCCATGATCTTTCGAAAAAATACAGTTTTATAAGTGCACTATAAAAATCAGAATATAGCTGTTCTTTACAATGTTTTCAAAACACCAAATGCTGTTATGATTTGGTAAGCCCGTATTTAAGGAGTTATACGAAGACTTGAATGACGTATCGAACTGGGCAGACATTGTGAACATTCAACGACACTGGATTGGCGAATGCAATGCATATCGCGTGACGCTTAAGTTATACGTAAGTGAGACTAGTTTGTACCGCCGTTTGTTCTAAACGTTTTGTTTTAGTGTCAGGAGATATCAGATTATGATGAGCAGATCGATCTCTGCCTAGGCTCGCCATCTGAGCTTATAAATGGAAGATGTGTTGTTGTGAAAAGCACCCATGTTCTGAATCAGTCGAAGTACTGGAATAACGGTATGAAGAGGGCTATATGTTCGCATTTTAAATTGCGATTCCGATATCTTTGCTTAGTTGGCGGTCAAAGTTGCTTGAAAGTAAAGTGTGAAAACCCCGTCACCGGGGAACTCATGGATGTAGTCGTTACAGATGACTATCCATACGATGAATTTACCGATGCCCATTTAGGTTGTAAGGAAGTTTTTTTTTCATTCTTTCATGTTTCTTTCGTATGTTTAGTGACGGATGTGAAATCCAGCAAATGCATCTTCGAAGACCGAGCAGAAGATGCTAAAGTTAAAATTATCAGCGATGAGGTATGTTCAACATTTGATGAAGGTCAGGCAGAATTCATTTTTCAGATTGATGAGCAAAGTCAAAATGTTTTGCAGCTGCTGACGGTAACAACTTTTATTTTGTATATGACATACTTTTACTTTTTTTGCACAGGAAAAGGGCTATCATATCTACCCGTCAAGTCACAAGCTAAGGGATTGGGTAGTTTCACGACAGCGATACTGGGGAACGCCAATACCGATCATTCATTGTCCTAATTGCAAGGTAATGGTGTCTTTCTGCATAAGTTTAGCTGCTCCCTTATCTTCAGAATGCATTCCATTCCAGGTCATCTGTCGAAGGGGCAGGTTTTACGATGTTTGTGCTTTTTCACGTGTAGTTCGAAATAAACGTTATAGCATAAATTTTTTCATTTGATTCTTCTCCACGTTACACCAGCAAGATTCATGTGTTTCTCTTGCACAGATCTTGAAGTTTCCCACGGGCAGTTTACTCTCCTGTTGGAACCAAAACGAATGCTTTTTTGATCCGGCGATTGTCTGTTACTCTTACAACATATCTTGCTAAATTCCAGAATAAAATTGGGAATATACTGAAAATAAAACCTGCCTAGAACTTCATAATGGACACGAGAGGTACGAATGGCAGTTAAAGAGAAGAAAGCAGCGTTCAAGAAATGGCTTGGAAACAAGGAGCCATCTATACGCGTGTGATATGTCGAGGCACGCAAGGCGGCAGCCATAGCAGTGGCGAAAGCCAAGGCTGATTCCTGGGAGAAGTT